CGCTGAAAGAATGACCACAGCAGGGTGGTTAAAACAACAGGGATGTATATTTTCACAGTTCCGGAGGCCAGAAGACAATGGAGGTGTCTGCCCAGCCGCCTTCCCTCCAAGGCCTCCAGGACAGCATCACTCCTGGCCTCCCCTGGCTTCTGGTGGCTTGTGGCTGCATCACTCCAGTCCCTGCTCCCATCTTCTTTCTCTTCACTATCTTCTCTGCTCTGTGTCACTCTGTGTGTCTGTTATAAGGACACCTGTCACTGGATTTAGGGCCGGCCTGGGGATAATCGAGGATGATCTCAACGTGAGATCCTTACATTAATGGCACCTACGAAGCACTTTTTTTCCAAATAAGGTCACCTTCACAGTTCCCAGGATTAGGGCCTGGCTATACCTTTGGGGACGGGGGACCGCCATCAGTATAGCATCTAATACGTACCTGGCATAGAGCAGCCACTCCGTATGAGCTACTGGAATAATCGTTTTTATTACTATTTCCAGCACGGAACGACAGGGTCGTCCATCTCCTGCCCCTTCCTTCCCGGCCTGGCTCCTGGTGCGAGGGGGCTCTGCCTGAAGGACGCAGCAGAGGGCGCTGCAGGGGGGGGGGGGTTACCCAGAGGGCTGTGCGCTTTGCAGGCGCTTTCTGTGCAGAACCCGCCAGACCCAGTCCGCCTCCACAAAGGACGGTTTACAAGCCGCCGTCTTCTCAACGAAAAATTCTCTGCCCCTTCACCTCCCACTCCCGGGAGAGAGCCTAGACAGGGATGGGGTGGAGTAGCCACAGGATGAAACACAGTGATCAAGGGAGGAGACAGGCATGCACGGATACCCTGTTCCCGCTGACGGGATGGGGAAAGGAACAAATATTTGCCACCAGCACTTGGACTCTGTGCGTGTTCATTATCAGATGCTGGTGACTTTAGGTGCTGAGTGGTGACTCACAGCCTTGCACCCTCCCCATCCAGTCCAGCTCCCTCCATTCCCCTTCCTACATCTCGCAGGTTTTTCCAGGCTGCACGGCACATTCAAGCTGCCCTCAAGTTTCAATGCGGCTGGAAGGCTATCTGGTCCTCCTTCTGACCCGGGGTTGGAGAGCTCATCGGCTTGGTGGGCTGGAGGCAAGTCAAACGGCCTGTGAATTCTGTGGGGTTTGGTGGATTTCTTGCTTTCTTGGGCTTCACATCACCCTCCAGTCCTTCCACCTGGGACCATTTGGCACCACCCTTGTTCAACGTGGCCCCTGTACCTTAGGTCTAAGCCTCACATCAGCGACCCACCCAAAACTCAGTCCCTCCCAGTAGAACAGTCTGGAAGGCAGGGCAGAGCAGCATCTCACTCTCTGCCCCAAGTTCTAACCCCTGGATGGGTTTTAACGTGTGCCCTTTGCTGGTGTCTCCATTAGCTTACACCAGATCCACCTGTTCCTCCTGCTCTGAGCCGAGAGGCCGGCCCCTGTGCAAGGCCCCCGCCAGGACCAGTTAGGAACCGACTTTGAACGAGGCCTGGCCGGCGCGGGGCACTGCGGGGAGGTGGACAATGGTGGTAAAAAGAGGTTGGACTACCCGTGCGGCTGTCGCACAGTGGTTAGAGCACCGTGCCCTGTGCTAGTGAGCATATAAAACATGTCGTTATTATTGTCATCCAGAGGAGGCATTTGCTTTTTGGTGACTATATTTACTCAGGAGTCTAAGTTACATGTCAAAAGGTTCCTTGCTTGATGCGCTCAGAATTAGAGAAAAGATTCTTAGGAAATTTCTTTGAAACTGTCACTGACTAATGACTTATCTGTCACTAAATTAACTATTCTGTGTAAAGAACTGTTTTCTCATTCTGAAATCAGGACTCAGTCTTGCCATCCTAAATATTTATCATATGGCACAGTTTCTCGAGATTATGATGGATATGGCTTACACAGGTGGAATTCCTCAATTACAGACACAAAAAGATCGTTTCTGGCAAGACTGTCTTCAACCCCAAACGTAAATTTAACATCCATGCAACATCAGAACTTGGCATTTCGTCCACATCTCTTAATCATGGGTTTATCTTCCTGGGGGGTGATTTGAGCCTTCTGTGTACTAAATACATGCTGGTTTTTTTTCTAAAAAGTTCGTGAGGAACAAAAAGAGTAAATGCTTTGTAAGGAAGTGGAGCCTGTGGGTTTAAAAAAAAAAGATTTAATGAAAAACATAAGTTAAATTCAACCCAAGGCTAAAAAGGTGATTAATTATCGTCAGCATATCCCATTTATTAAAAAGAAATAAACATTCCACTGCTTTCTCCAACTGACTTGGGTTGAACTGTTTCATGGGGGAAATGGGGGCAGGGGGCCCTTCAATTCTACTGGGTATAAATGCTCCAAGATGTGTTGGCGTCGTAAGTCAGGAACTCAACATTATATTTTCCTCTGTGCAAGAACTATCTTCCCACAAGTTTTAAGTCACTAAACCATGATGTTCCATCTAAGTTAGAGTTTTTAAAAAATTGTTATTCCATTGAGTTTATGTATATGGATTTTGGAGCTTAGTAGGTGAACATGTCGTTCTATTTTCTAACTTGAGAGCCAGCATAAAACAAAGACCCTTTGTTTACTTCATTTATAGACCAGGAATAACCTCACCTACCTACTTTTTAGGGTGTTCGTAAGGTTTACAAATAATATTAAATGTTTAGAGTGCATAGTAGGAGCTCACTAGATGAAACCCATTGAGCAATCAAAGGTATGGAGAACTACTCATCCAAAAGAGAAGTCATCAAATTTTTTGTTTGAGAGGAACTTTTCTCCTGTTTCCCATTTCTTAAATCATTGACCACACTTGGAATGGGTGACTAGAAGATAAAAAAGGTACAGTTAATATCTAAATCATTCTCAATCAAAATTCAGATGTCCACACAAAAATCTCCATGTGAGTTTGTGTAGTTATTCCGCAAGGACATAAAGCATTGTGATAATGCCTGCAAGCACGTACATATAGATAAATAGTGTATCTTATACATTAATATAAAGCATGCAAGAACATTAAATATGTTCATTCTCCTATATCTGTGATGCTTGCTTTTTTCCTTCTGTTTTTTGTCTTCTTCCTATTTCCTCCCAGCCCTTATGGATCTGGGCTCTCTTCTCTCTCTGCATTTTTAGCAAGAACACTCGGCCTTTGCGATGCATATGTTTTTCCAAGTTCTAACTCTACTCAAGGATCTTTTTCTGGAACTACACACCTGCTCTCTTCTACCTGCCTGGCATCTCTGGATGGATGTCCTGGTGGCACCTTAAACCGAATATACTCAAAGTTGCATTCATCCTGTTAGTCTTCAAAACTAGCCTCTCCTCCTGAGACTCTTATGTCTAAAATTAGAAATGAGCTGATTTTGATTCTTTGTTTTGATACCCTGAGTCCAACCAGTTGATCTTGGGTACATTGCCTTGATGTCCTGTTTCTCCCTTTCTACTAAGAGAATTTTCATAAACACCTGGTTTCCCTACCCCATCTCCTTCCATTGCAGTCTAGTCTAGTAATTATACCTGGATGAATCTTCTTAAATCACAAAAGCAATAATCTACTTTCATTCTCAAAATCTCCCACTGAGAAAGCGAGGAATGAACTCATGCTTGGAGCTGAGGCTCCCTACCAGGTATCCTCCGTTCTTCGACCCTCTAGTCCTTCGACCCCGAGGTTGCAGAAATGAATAGTCCCTCAAAGCCAGCCCTGGCTTGCACATGTAACTTCCTTTGGCCCACACAATGGCTTTATACATTTCTAATTAGTTGCTAACATTTATGTATTAGAAGGCTTCGCATGAAAGTCTGGAGTCTGGCTTCTCATGAAAAGTTGGACTATCTGACAACTTTGGGCTACATTCCCAGGTGACAAAGGGCAGACGCTGGGTGGTAAGTGCCCCAGTTCACCACAGCCTTCATCTCATCGGTGTCACTGAACGTGGCACTGGCCCTGGTGCCTGTAGGCATGTGAGTGCTGCCGCTTGCCCTGCGCTAGCCAGCGTTCCGCCGGCGTGCGTCGCTCCCACGTGTGGGTGTGCCTCTGCGATGTACTCCGTCGTCTAGAGACGCCCTCTCCCTCCATCTTTCCTGCCTGCAAGGCCCACTGCGAACTCTGCATCTCCCATCAGCGCTCCACTGGACGCTATCGCCCTGTTCTTGACCCTCTGACACCCTGTGGTTCTGCAGTGGCCTGTATCCCCTGTCACTGGACCTCACATACTGGTGTCCTGGACTTCTCTTGGTTCCTCAGGGAGGTGAACCGACGAGCACTTCTCCCTGCCCCCCAGGCTTTCTAGAGGAGTGGTCCTCCTGGTCTGTACCTTCCCCTCCTCCCTCAGAGGAGGAGCGAGTCTTCCACCGCCTCCCCTTCGGGGACCTGCCTGTCTCCACAGTGGAGAAGCCCTGTTCTACCCGCCACAAAGGCCCTGCCTCGGCAGGTGGCCCAAGCTGGTGGGCACCCCCCGGGTTTGTGCCCTGGCCCGATTCTGAAGTCCATTGTCAGGATTCAAGTCAGGATTTCCTTCCAGGTCTTATCAGCAAACAGAGCTAATGATTTGATCTTCATCTGCTTGAATGCTTATCTCACTGTTTCACACTCAGGCAGGGACAAAGAGGGTTTAATCCAGAGCTTTCGAACCCCAATAAGAGGAGCTCACTTTGTCGCAAATCTTCCACAGCTCCCGGCGAAGGTCATTGTACAGAGAGGCACTCAAAACATTTCTCAGGTTGCGTCAGAAACGTAATCAAAGTGCATAAAACTCATGCAATACAATTTTTTCTTATTGCTTCTGTCTGCATAAACCATAACTTCAATGTCTCTTTGCAAAGTTAACAAAACACAAACTATTCTCAATGTAACATAAAATATTTATTTCCTATTTACATTTCCATTGTTACATATATCATTGCATATCATATCACATATCAAAAAGGAAGGGAAAGAGAAAGAGAGGAAGAAGGTAGAAGCCTTAACCGGCGCGAAGGAAGTGTCGCGCGTGCGTCACCAGCAGTCTCGCAGCTCTTGCTTCTTACCCTTCCTGGACTTCCTGGCCGTCTCCTGACGCATGGTGTCGCACTCCAGCATGGCCATTTTGGAAAGTCTCTGTAAGTACTGAGATGGGGCTCCAGCGAGGGGATCGCTGAAGCCAGAACCTGTCAGGAAAAGAGATCAGCTGCGAACATTCGAATCATCCCACGTCAACAATAATCTCTAAAATACAGTGCAAGTAAAATGTCTGTTTCCCAAAGGCCCATCAGGCCTACGAGTTCTTTGAAGTAGAAACGTCACTACTTACTGTCTAAAGTGACTGTGATGTCATCTCAAAATACATTTCACTAAAGAAGCCTGTGATGCTTGCATTTCATTATATAAAACTAAATCTGTGTCTGTCACATGGGGTGGCTGTGGAATTTACTTTCTCTAAACAATTAGAAAAATGTATTCTCTAGAAAAATGTATATAAATAATTAGCTCATTTAATACTTTAGATGCTTCTCAAGTTATTTTCTCCAAACAAAACCATTCTTCATGAATACTAAATGAAGTAACATAATAAAGTGAAATGAGTCCTCCTCTCGCTGAACAGCATTGGCCAAGCCTGTTACTGCTGGTGGTATAATAGTAGGTTAACGCTTACTGAGTGATCTCGATCTGTCAATTACTCTTCGCCTATTTCATCCACAAAACACTGAAATAGGTGACTAGTACTGTCTTGGATTACAGATTTTAAAAAGATTTACTGAGACTTAAATTCTTGCCCAATGGCAAATACCTAGCAACTGTTAGTGGCAGGATTGGAACCTAGATCCATCAAATTTAAAGTTTCCATATAATCATGACATAATGCCCTAAATATGTAAATATGTATAAATACTTCTACTTAGAAACACACACGTGTTTGAAAATAATATATGAATCCATCTTGCTTGAAAATACTATTGTTTGACTTCAGTTTCAAGAGTCACAAAAGCTGTCTGCAGGTCTCCAAGGTGGCTGGTTTTTTGTCTGCTCTGTTTTCATGTGTGTGCAACACGAGTGAGAAGCTCAGAGGGCAGAGGCCAAGAACGTGACCAGCAGGCCTGTTCTCAGCACTGCAGGGGGCCTGATCGCGGACAGACCCTCTGGCTACACATTAACTAGACTCTAGGTATTAAGCAATGTTAAAAAAAAAAAAAAAAAAAGCCCTGGCCAGTTTGGCTCAGCGGTTAGAGCGTCGGCCTGCGGTCCTGAGAGACCCGGGTTCGGTTCCCGCTAAGGGCACGTACCTCGGTTGCAGTTTGTCCCCGGCCCTGGTTGGTCATGCAGGTGGCAGCCACTCGATGTGTCCCTTCATGTCAATGTTTCTCTCTCTCTCTCCCTTCCTCTCTCTCCCTCCCACTCTGTCTGTACAAAAAATGGAAAAATATCCTCGGGTGAGGATAAAAAAAAAAACTTCAAGGAGCCCTGGCCGATTTTGCTCGGTGGTTAGAGCATCAGCCTTCGGACCAAAGAATCGGGTTCGATTCTGGTCAAGGGCACATACCTGGGTTGCGAGTTTAATTCTTGGTCCCTGTCAGGGTCATGCAGGAGGCAACCAATCAGTCTCTCTCTCACATCGATGTTTCTCTCGCTCTCTTTTGCCCGCCCTCCCTTCTACTCTTCATAAAAATCAATGGAAAAATATCCTCAGGTGAGGATTAACAAAACAAAACAAAAACAGAAAACACTTCAAATAATTGTTATCTTACAGACCAATAAAATTAAGTTAAAGTTGTTAACAATAAATGTAAAAATTCTCAAATATTTAAAAATTTATATACACATTCTAAATTATGTATCAATCAAAAAAGAAATCATAATAAACATTTAAGTAGATAGTAAAAGACATTATAAAATGTATATGGTGAAGCAAAAGAGAAATATTAGGGCATAATCCTCTATAATTCAGGGTATAATTTTTTAAAATTCCTGTTAGAAAAGAAGACTGAAAATTCATAAGCTAGGTACAAAATATATATTAGGAAAAGAATAAACCCAAAGAACATGGGAGAAAAAAACCTAATACAGTAAAGAGGAGAAATCGGTGAAGTAGAAAACAAACTTACAATAAGAAATCTTTTTAAAAGACCGTTCTCCACTGAACAGACTATGACAAAGGAAAGCTTCGGGTGAGCTCAGCCAAGAAGGCCCGGCAGGAGGGACAAGGACCATTAGGAGCAGAGGAACAGAAATACAGATGGCGCACAGACTAAACTTTAGGCCAATAAATTTGAAAACTTAGACAAAATGGAAAAAATTTTAAAATATATAACTTACCAAGACTGATCGAAGAATTAGAATGCTTTAAGAGTCCTAAAATTAAAATGATTGAATCAACATTAAAAGACTCCTCCAAAGAAAACAAGTGACCCAAATAATTTACCTGCAAGGCTCTGGGTCACCTTAGGAGTGGTCAGAGAGATTTCAGTTTCTTCTGGCTGCAGTCATTTTAATCCGGCCACGGCTGGGTGGTGGCCAAGGCCTGAGGTGCCTTTGTAGTGTGTGGCCCTTCAGGAGTTTTAACCGAGAGCCTGGTGTTCACTAAGGGCTCTCCTGGGTAGGCCTGAACCTCCCGACTCTGTCTCCCCAGCAAATGCTAAGATTCTGAAACTTTTGCTCAGTTCTTTTACCTTCAAGAAGCTGTTTCCTGCTTGGGGTCCTGAAATGTGACCCCGACAAATATCTGGGGAAAAACTGCTCACAGAATTTGGGGCTCACTTCTCTGCCATTATTTCTCCAGTACCTCAAGTTCTCAAGTCCTGTTGGAAATGAGTGCTCTTGACACCGTAAAGCAGTTGCTTTTTAATATTTTTATAAAAATAACAAATATATTATATATTACCATTATTTACTTATTATAAAGTATATTTTATTGTATTTGTTATCATGAGCTCTTATGCTAACTCTTGGTGGTAATGTCGGCAGAGCCAGAGGTGTGAGTTCTACAGGCCCCTTGTTTATGAGGAGTAACTACTAAAGTAGATGACAGTTGCCAAATGGTCCTTTAAAAACCTAAATCGGATCACAGTGAGATCATGCTTTTGTTAAAATTGCTCAGTGGCACCTCATGTCAATCAGCGTTAGATACGGGGTCCGTTCCAGGGCCCTGCCGGGTCAGATGCCACCTCTCCTACCTGATCCCCACACTCTGAGATGAGCCACACTCCACTCCTGATTTCTTCCAACAGGTCGGCACCAGCCCAAGAGAAGAGCTCCAAGAGAAGAGCTGTTTCCCAGGGGTTTCACTCCCTCCCCTCTGTCAGGTCTTGGCTCAGACGTTACCCGCTCTGTCAACCCTGTTCTGACGCCAGATCTCCGGTCTCCCTTCCCTGTTCGACTTTGTTTCTGCTTTCACCTTCCGACATGCTAGGGAATGGTCTTCTTCATTATACTGAATGTTGGTCGGCGTATTCTCTCACTGCAGTGTAAGCTCACAAGGGCAGGGACCTTCCTTCTGTCGAGGGATGTGGCGGAGCCCGAGCACCTAGAACAAGGCCTGGCACACAGTAGATACTCAATGCCCATTCGGTGAATGAGCGAAGGAACTGCCCTCTTGCATGGCTGAAGGAAAATCAACAAATATTTACTGAGCACTCAACATGGTGCAGAAACTGGTGTAGCCCCTGCAGGCATCTGGCCCAAAAGAACCATAAACGTGGCCTGTTGGAAAATAGGCCGGCAAATGTTCATTCGGGCCAAGATGCAAAACAAATGCCTTTTGCTTAAATTAACATTTATGTTTTTATTTTATGCTGCCTGTTGAACACAGAAGTTGTTTATAATATATGGAAATTCAGAGAAAGGACATATTCATGGAGAAGTTCATGAACATTTAACCTCATGAACGTCCAGAGACTGAACTTGCAAAGCTCCTGACAAGCCAGTTCTAAGTGCTACCAACAATGTCGATAAAGGTCTCACTGAGTAATTTTGTGGGCTCTTTGGAGGTGCTCTATTAACTCTATTAGTTCATAAGTGCAAAATCGTGGAAGTGATGAACGTAACTCTGATTATCATAAAAATAAGTAAGGTTTAAGAAATCTTAAACTGGTAAAGAAATACTCGTTATACACAGGGAAAGGAGGACACACTAATAGTCTGAAGGACAAGTAGTAAATAACATGTAACTAATGTTGTACCTAATCCTGTGGCTCTCAGCTGGGAGTGAGTGTGTCGTCCTAATGACCTTTGGCAATATATGGACACCTTTCTGATGACCACACTCGGGGGTGCTAGTGGCACCTAGTGAGTAAAGGCCAGGGATGCTGCTAAACACCCTTCAGTGCACAGGACAGAGCCCCACAACAAAGAAATATCTGGTCCAAAATGTTAATACTGTCACTGTGGAAAAACCCTAGCTTACATAGTAATCGACCAAAGACAAGAAAGTGGAAAACTTTTGACTACATGGGTCAAGGATTTTCACCATTAACTTTGGGTAAAATTGCTTCAGGAAATGAGTAAGAATGTATTGGAGAACTTAAACATTAAATATATGCATGTCGCATGCCATATACGGTTCCCTTGATATAGGGCCCCAGGAATCGGTTAGACATGAAAGTTAGGGATGAGAGAGGAAGTCTAGATACCAGGGCTGCCAAGAAATTCTCTATAATGTTGTGGACATCATTAAAAGGGTAATTATCTGGCTCAACAGATTTTTTTAGTGTCTGTTTTTGAAAAACAAAATTCTGATTAAACAAATCAGAAATGTGGAGGTCAGAACACCTGATTTTTTTAGCTTCAAAGAACAAATTCATCTCCAAAATACACCCTGGTGCCATAAACCCTTAGTCACCAAGGACTTAGAAATAAGTCAATTTTAAGAGTAGTGGTTTGGAACCCAAACTGTTGGCACATAGGTAAGTTTTTGTAGTTGGATATTGTAGATAGACAGGATTCCAGAAAAAAAAAAGTAATTAGAAGACCCTAAAGTCAAGTTAGGGGAAGATGGTGAAGGGTTCACTGCCAAGCTAAGGAGTTCATGCTTTAGTCTGTGCGTAACGGGGAGGCATTGTTTTTGAAGGAGGGAGTGATATGATCATAGGCCAAGGCTTTAGGCTTTGGTGAAGTGTTGAAGGATTTCCAAGCCAGGCTTCTTTGCATGCAACTGCAAGGCCCACATGGAGATGAGGAGGGGGGACCCCAGGGTCCTGAGATAACAAAGGTACATTCTACCTTGAATGCAATATCTACTACATTTATAAAAGAAAGCTTCAAAGAAGCATTAACAAAACAAAGACAATTAAATCGGTGGAAAGAAAGGAAGTTTAAAAAGGAAGGTAAGTATTCAGCTGCCCAATGAGACCTGTGGGCGGAGACAAAGACGAACCCCCTTACCTTTTGCTCTCTCCTGAAGCGGTACCACAGTGCAGGGCTCCTTAGTCTTCTTTATCCTAAAATTATACATTATCATAAAATCACTTCTCTATAAATCCAGGGTACAATAATTTTTCAAAATGCAATAAGAGACTAGGAGCATGCTTTGGTGAAACTCACTTGTTGAAGGACAGCACATGGAAATTAAATAAACATTAAAGACGCAAAACTCCTTCTATCATAGCTAATGTAATCAGAAGCAGATATGAACCAACTTAATATCTTGCTTTTTGCTAATAAATTTTACCAGTGGATGAGTGGTATGTCTAACTTTTCCCATCTTCATCTCAATTTATTTTTACCTTAACTCCCACTAATCACGGTTCAAGGAATGCTGAGAGGTAGGGAATCAAGATTAGATTAATGGGGTACCTGGCTATGCAGCTAACCAATTCACTAATTTGTACACTTTTTACCTATTCATCACTACAATCTGAATTCTGACATAATTAACTTTTGTTCCTTCTGGAATACACCTAAATAATAAGTAGGTTACTAGAGGAAACACATGATTGAATCTGCTGTGGATGAAATGGTCTATAAGAATTCAAAATTTCTTGTATCTACATTAAACTTTAGCAGTCAGCCAGAACTTTTAAATATTCTTCACCTCCAAGATTACTATTATCAGCTATATTACCAGAGTGTGCCTTGAGTCACTGGAAATTTTTGATTAGCATTAAAGAAATTTTTTAAAAAATTAGTTTTATTGGCATTTTAAAATCAAATATTTACATATTGAGGAAGGAAGAAAGAAGGTAAAAGATGAATACTTCCCCGCTTTGCCAAGACTGTTCTTTCCCAGGGCGCTGGGCAATGCGCAGAGGAGAATAAAACACTTGGAGACAACTCGACATGTCCTCACCAGAATGGCTAAAATAAAGACACTCATTTCAAAGACAGGCAGGAGAGCTAACATATATGCTGGCCACTCACTTATCAGCGCTGTGGCATTGGCCCCACCTTTTCACTTTGTAGATGGAGAACACTTGTTGTAAAACAATTATAATGGATTCAGATTACCCTTCATTGACCTAAGTAAATTCACACTCAAGGTGATGTGAAATGTTGATGAATCATCTCAAAAACAGCCAAATTTCAAATAAAAATAAAGAAATAAACGGAAATAGAGTGAAAACGGGAGGAAGCAACATAAGACTGAAAATTTGGAGGCAGACCAGGCTAACCCAGGGGGTGCTCTCTGGGCCTCCAGTCTTTAAGGGGATCCCGCGCTCTGAACGAAGGGTAAGAAGGCTGGTCTGGAGAGTCCATGGCCACAGCAGCCCTCCGCACGACTGCCCTGCTCCCCACCAAGGGCTGTGACCCGGGACGTGAAGGAGCAAGCCGAGTCCCAGCAGGACAGCTATCTTGGTGATGGAAACACACCGTCCTTGGGTAGGTTTGAGGTTCAGGTTTCCAGTGGGCCCTCTTCTTCCTACAACCTGGCCATCCTGTCTCTGATTCTCACCATAGACTCTACTAGCAACTCACTCTCCTCCACCACCTCTGATTCTGCCTTATTGCACTGTAATCTCACTTCAGAAAAAGCAATTTTGCTTGGTATATTTTTAGAGCTTGGCAATCCACCCTCCGCTAAGATTTAAAATGAAGGGGAAAACTTTATGTGAGCTATTGCTCACTGCAGTGTTATTTACAAAAGTGAAAAAGTCAAGGTAACCTAGTGCAATGATAGGAAGTTTTAAATAAACTATGTTACTAAACACAATTAAACCATGGACCCATCAATAAAATATAATGTGGACAGTAACTGAAGATTATGTAGTGAGATAACTACGTGTGTGTGTGTGTGTGTGTGTGTGTGTGTGTAAAAGGCAGAATAAAACATTGTAAATACACTAAAATCACAACTAAAATTAAAATACATGAAAATGGCCCTGGCTGGTTTGGCTCAGCGGTTAGAGCATTGGCCCGTGGACCAGAGAGTTCTGGGTTTGGTTCCCGCTAAGGGCATGTACCTCGGTTGCAGTTTGTCCCCGGCCCTGGTTGGAGTCATGTGGGTGGCAACCAGTCCATGTGTCTCTCTCACATAGATGTTTCTCTCTGTCTCTTCCCCCCTCTCTATCTGAAGATAAATGCAAAAATGTCCTCAGGTGAGGATAAATTAAACAAACAAACAAACAAACAACATGAAAATGAAGAAGGCTAGAAGAGAACACCCAACAATAAAAATGGATATGTTAGGGTGGGTAAATTTTTTTTCCAAATTTTCTGCAGAGCTCTTGTTTATTTTCACAATTTAGCTATAGACTAACCATAACTTTTCATTTTTAGTATGTTCTGGTTTTCTATTTATATTACCAGGATTTATTTCAAGTACTTAGCAAGAATGATACTAGTAGAAAACTCAAGAAGTAGACTCTGAAATTCGAACACTTGTGCGCTATGGACAACTGGATGCCTTCAAAGCTCATTACATGAAAATATAAATTCTTCTCTAAAGAGAGCTACAGATCAGACTGCTATCAGTGCTTAGTCTTTTTTGTTTTTTGTTTTTTTAGGCTGGCCATTCAATAAATAAATAAACCAAAGCAGAAACCAAATAGAATAGAAGATTGCCTTACTCACTAATATACACATCCCTTTGAAGAAAGGGGTTTTCTTTTCATGGTATGTCAGTCTGATTTACAGTTGGAAAGATATTTATAATAATGTTTTTAAGTGCCAGGATTCTGGCAGACAGACTCCTTTCTGACAGTCCATGCAGGGTCTTCGCAGGCTGACGTCTCATTCAGACCCTCCCTTCTCACCACTTCCAACCAGAAGTGAAGCCCCAGGCTCTGCACGCAGGCTAAAGAAAACTGCTAATATTGCAGACTTCATTTATTCTTATTGCTAAAAATTCCGATATTCTCATGAGCAATCTACACGAGGGCAATAAAAGTTTTTAAAAGAAAGTCCTTATATCCTTTCTGGCAATGTCACTTGTCAAGCTGAATAAAATCACTCACTCAGACTTACAAAATTAAGTCCTTTATGGAAAAAACTTAGTAAGCAAGAAAGAATTGGATTTACGGGCCAGAAAGACCTCTGCAAGCACAAGTATTACTACAAATGAATATTCAACACCAGAGAGCGAAGTAGACGGGATCTACCTGACCGGAGGCATCTGGGCGTCAGCGCACCGCCGCCTGCTAGGAACCTGTGGTGGAGATGAACTCACACTCTTTGGGCAACTTTGCAGTCCTGGCAAATACGGCATTTTGACATGTTCTCTGAGCTCTTCTAGACCAAATGCTCTGGTGTATTCTAATTAAAAATAATATTGTAACCATTTTCATTATTTCTTCATTAAATGCATATAACTTTTCTTACACATTAAAACGCATAATAAAATACACTAAATCAGTCATTAAGTAAAGAAAATTAAGCTAGTATAGTTTACTTAGCATCTTTTCCAAGAGCAGAGCAGACCTGGAATTCCTAGTACAGGGACTGCAGGGAAGGGTGACTAGGGGCTGCTGAAGATTGGACAAGGAAGGGGGCAGCTTCACAGATCCCCAGTCTCCACTGTCCTCTGCCTTCAGGAGTTTCTGTAACTACAATTCTCAGAACATTAGGTACATTCACATTGAAAAGACTTGAAAAGCACCTTTGGGTCTTTTGTTACCTGCCAGTTTACATCTTTCGACTTTCCTTCCTGCTTTTATGTAAAAAATCAAGATGCGTAAATCTATGATCATCTGAGCTAGCAATGAGATAAACTAATTCTCTTTTCAGGCATTGATTTTAATTATCTCTCTGCAAAATTCCAAATCTATAAACAACAACATTGAAGCACCAAGATTTCTTCTTCTACTGACCTCACATATCATTGGACAAAGAGATTATTAAGTTATTGAAAAAATTTTTTTTCAAAATGAAAGCCATAAAAGGAAAAAACATTAAAAGATTAAAGGTCTGGGTGATCATTAAACTAAACATAGAGTTGTTTTTAAAGCTTTCTCGAATTAAGCAAGTCTAGCCCAGCAACAAAAAAAAGATATTTAATGGGACTGGAATTATATTAAATACTCAAAATGCTATTCTGTAACCTTTAATATTATTTCTTTCTTTCTTACAAAAAAAAAAAGTTTCTCTTAATCAAAAAAATATAGATTCTCTTTTCAGCAATTAAATTTGGGGGTATGGGTCAGATGAACTGGTTTCTGAGTACCTTTAGTGGGAATCTGATGGAAACGCTGAAAACTATAGCAACACCTTCAAAAGCAGGTGTGATGAAATGGTGAGGGAGTTCGGATTTGGCTATTTCAAGAATTACAATTCTGTCAATAAAGCTAACAACAGAATTCAGAATAAATAAAAAAATATGATTATACTTTGAAATTAAGGAGGGAAAGCTATGAATATACTCATTTCCGTGTCGAAAGTTTTCAAACTAATCTTTATTGAGCTACTATAGGATATAAAATACTTCCTACGGGAAAGGGAGACACATTCTGGTTAGAATTATTTATACAAAAAGGTGTTGTAATTTGGATTGCTTAAAATACAATAACCAACTTGAGGTATTTAAAAACAAACACTATTTATGAAAAGCAGTATGATCTAACAGAGAGAGCACTCTGCACTGATACTGAGAAGTGCTTCTTTACATTTGTTTCTACCATGAGTTACAGAATTACATTAAGTAAATTAATTTTATTTTGCTTCCATTTTTCTTTTCTGTAAGCTTAAGATGACATTCCTACTTAAATGTTACTAAAATTATAAAATGTCTCTTATTGCTTTAAAAATATACATGTAAATTCAAATTCAATATTTCTATATTTTCTTGAGTAAAAGAAGAGTAAAATTGAAGTTACCGTTCCTCAATTTTTCTGTTTCTAAAACTGCTTTCCTCCAACTATTCTCAAAAAGAAAATAACTGTCAAAGGAATTTCTGGTGACATTCGAAGTCTCACATTTGATCTCAGGAGATAGCGTCGGCATTTTTACTTCTTTCAACAATTCTGGTGACAGTGACATGCTGATCCAGATTCAGGACACACACACACACACAAAGAAGATATTTCAGAAATAAACATTTGTTTCCATTTTTTTCCATTATACAGATTAAATACTAACATAAACTTAAATAAAAAGTTTACTTATATTATGTATGTAAATACATATTTTTGGTATTTTAAAGCAAGAAGCCTTTAAGAATATAGCTAAAATATATAGTCAGATTTTTGTTTCTTTTATGTATTTAATGAATTCTTTTAAGTTCCAGGTTATAGATATTTGACAATATAAAAACAATTTAAGTCCCACAGCAAGTTATCATGTACAAGACAAGAAAATGCTTAGGATTTTCTCAAAAATATTACCATTATACACCATGACCAAGAGGGATTTATCTCTGGGATGCAAGGATGGCTCAACATTAAAAAATCAGTTAATGTGATATATCACATACAGAATGAAGGATAAAAATAACCACATGACCATCTCAACCTCTACAGAAAAAAACATTCGATAAAATTCAGTACCCTTTTCATGATAAAAAAAAAAAAAAATACTTTCAACAAAATAGAGAGAAATTATCTCAACATCATAAAAGCTATATAGGCCCAGTCCGAGTAGCTCAGTTGGTTGAGCATCATCCCATGAACCAAAAGGTCACAGGTTCAATTCCTGGTCAGGGCACATGGAACTGCCATTGATCCCCAATAGGGAGTGTGCAGGAGGCAGCCAATCAATGTTTCCCTCTCACATTGATGTTTCTCTCTCTCTCTCAAATCAATAAAAACACGATGATGATGATGATAATAATAATAATAATAAATAAAAGCTATATATGAAAAGCCCACAGCTAGCATCATACTCAATGGTAAAACATTAAAGCTCCTCCTCTAGAATCAAGAACAAGGCAGTGATGCCCACTCTTGCCTCTTCTATTCAACATGGTACCGCAAGTCCTAGATAGAGAAATCAGGAAAGAAAATGGAATAAAATGCATCCAGATTGGATAGGAAGAAATTTAAAAGTGTTCCTGTTTATAGAGGACATGATCTTATATACATAGAATGCCCTAAGACTCCACCAAAAAAAAAGAAAAGAAAATGCTAATCCTGGCCAGTGTGACTCAGTTGGTTGAGCACTGTCCTGTGCACAGAAAGATCATGAGTTCGATTCCCGGTCAGGGCATGTACCCAGGTTTCGAGTCTGATCCCCAGTTAGGATGCATAGGGGAAGCAACCAATCGATGTTTCTCTTTCACATCAATGTTTCTTTCTCTCTCTCTCTCCTTCTCCTTTCCTCTCTTTAAAATCAATAAAAACATTTTTAAAAAATAACAAAAACAGAAGTTGCTGAATCACCACCATGTTAAAAAGAAAAATGTTAGAAATAATAAAGGAATTCAGTAAAGATGCAGGATGCAAAATTAACAAACAAAAATCACTTGTATCTCTATACATTAACATACTATCTGAAAAGGAAGTTAGGAAAACAATCCAACTTACAATAGCATCATTTTAATAAAATACTTAGGAATAAACTTAACTAAGGGCGTAAAAGACTTGTACACTGAAAAACTACAAAACACTGATGAAATTAAAGAAGAAACAAACAAATGGAAAGACATTCCATGTCCATGGATTGAAAAACTTAATATTGTCAAAATATCCATACTACTCAAAATGATCTACAGATTCACTGTGATCTTTACCAAAATACCTGTGCTATATTTTAAAGAAATAGTAAAAACAATTTAAAAATTCATATGGAACCACAAAGGACCCCAGACATCCAAAGCAATCTTGAGAAAGAAGATAAGATCAAAGCTGGAGACAATGCAACAGTACTCAGGCCGGAAACAAATCCACACATATACAGTCAACTGATCTTTGACAAGGGTGCCAAGAATACACAACAGGGAGAGGATAGTCTTTTCAACAAACCGTGTTAGGAGAACTGGATCTGCACATGCAAAAGAATGAAACTGAACCCTTTTCTTACACCATACACAAAAATAAACTCAAAGTGTATTAAAGACTTAAACCGGAGACCTGAAACTATAAAACTCCTAGAAGTAAACATAGGGGAAAAGCTTCATGACATTGGTCTTGACAGTGATTTTATGACTATGACACCAAAAGCACAGAAAAGAGAAGCAAAAACAGACAAGTGGACTACATCAAACTAAAGGCTTTGCACTGCAAAGGAAACAAAGTAAAAAGGTGACCTACAGAATGGGAGAAAATGTTTGCAAATCATATATCTGGTAATATCCAAAATATATAAGGAGTTCCTACAACTCCCTATTAAAAAAACAAACAGACAAAAAAAAAAAAAAAGCTTAATAGCCCTATATTAAAAGTGGGCTAATGATTTGAAGAGAGATTTCTCCAAAGAATACATACAAATGGCCAAAGGGCATATGAAAAGATGTTCAATGTCACTAACAATCAAAGAAATGCAAATCAAAACCACAATATAGTATCACTTCACACCTTTTAAAATGGCCACTATAAAACAATTTTTTTAAAAGACAATAATGTTGCCCTGGCCGGTTTGGCTCAGCGGTTAGAGCGTCGGCCTGCGGTCCGGAGAGACCCGGGTTCGGTTCCCGGGTTCGGTTCCCACTAAGGGCACGTACTTCGGTTGCAGTTTGTCCCCGGCCCTGGTTGGTTGTGCGGTGGCAGCCACTCGATGTGTCCCTTTCACATCGATGTTTCTCTCTCTCTATCTCTTCCTCTCTCTCCCTCCCACTCTATCTGTACAAAAAATGGAAAAATGTCCTCGGGTGAGGATAAAAAAATAAAAGACAATAATGTTGGCGAGGCTGTAGAGAAATTGGAACCCTTGGGCACCATTGGTGGGAATGCAATATGGTGCAGCCTCTATGGAAAACAGTATGCAGGTTCTTCAAAAAATTAAAAGTAGAACTGCCATACCATCCAGCAATCCCACTTCTGGGTATTTATCCCAAAGAATTGAAATCAGTATCTCAAAGAGATGTTAGTACTTCCATGTTCATGCAGCACTGTTCACAATAGTCAAGATGTAGAGAAAACCTAAATCTTCATCAACAGTAGAAGGGATAAATAAAATGAGGTATAGCCTGGTTGGTGTGGCTCAGTGGCTGAGCGTCGACCTATGCACCAAGACGCCGCTGGTTTGATTCCAGGTCAGGGCACATGTCCAGGTTCTGGTCCCGATCCCCAGTGGGGGGCATGCAGGAGGCAGCCGATTGATGTTCTCTCTCATCGATGTTTCTCTCTCTCTTTCCCTCTTCCTTCCTCTCCCTCTAAAATCAATAAATAAAAAAGATTTTAAAAAATAAAATGAAATGAGATGTAGATATAAAATGAAATATTATTTAACCATAAAAAGAAGGAAATCCTGAAATATACAACACAAATGGACCTGAAGGACATCATGCTAAGTGAAATAAGATGGACACAGAAGAACAAATACTGCATGATTCCACTTAGACGAAGTATCTAAAATTGTCAAACTCATAAAAGCATAGACTGATGGTTGCCAGGGACTGGGGAGCTGGGGAGTTGCTAACTGGAGGGTATAAAGTTGCAGTGAAGCAAGATGAATAAGTTCTAGATGTCTGCCACTGTAAAATGCATTTGTGTCTGAACAAAATATCATTTCTCTGTGCCATGGAAAATGAACGTGTCCTCAAGACAGCCATTACCTTTATTCTGGACACAGAAGGATAACTAATCATGCATCCAGCTTATTTACTATATATTCAATGCAATCATAGATGCCAAGTGTCTGTTTTGTGCAAGGCGTTACTAAACTCTGAAGAGGGTACAACCATAAGCAAGGCACAACCCCTACTCAGGACAATGGCCACAAGCACCGCAGTTACAATTCATTGGATACCGTATCCTTCCAAGCTCCCTGCCCGGCATTTTATATTCATTATCTCCAGTCTTCACAACAAAAGGATGACAGGTATCCAGGTTCAGCTGTGCTCATTCATTTATACAAAATATTTACTGAGAGTTGTTTCTGTGCCAGGAATTACTCAAGACCTTGGAGAAACATGACAAACAGCACAAGCCCTGCCCTTGAGGAGCTCAGAGTCCAGTAAGCACAAGGGCACAGGTGGCACAGTGCAGAAAGTGCTGTGAGGGAAAACCGTACAGGGTCCTGGAAGAGGAAACACGTGAACAATTTGAAATGAGAAGTGTGACGTGTGTGCAACCCCAGACATGGGTGCACAGCAAGAAGCAAGGCAAAGAGGAGAATGTGGGAGGAGAGAGGGAAGGTGAGAGAAGAGGGAGGAGAAGGAGGAGGGAGAAGAGGAGAGAGGAGAGAAGGGGGGGACGCAAAGGTTGCCTTGGAGATGGGGGAGCGGTGAGAGGTTAGCATTTCCTGGGAAGGCCACACCTTGTTGAGCAGCTGTGTCAAATCCGGAGAGGTTACTTACTGGGACGTGAAAAATGGGATGAGAATAAAGGGGTAAAGGTCTGGACTTGGTGGTGAGATCTTGGGCTTCTTGGAAATGGCAGTGCTGGGGATACAGGTGAGGGTGGGAACCAGACCGTTATGGGCCACAGGAGGGGGTGAAGAGCATTAGGAAATGCAGAGACAGCAGAGGGAGAGGAGAGGCGCCTCGGCAGGGCACCTCCCACGGACCCGCCCAGTCTTCTCCATCAAGCCCCGCCCTCCCCGCAGCGCTCAGAGCCCCACACTGCTTCCCGGACTCTCCCGCGCCCTCCGCTCCTGGGGTTGTCCTCCCTCCCAGCTGCAGTGGAAGCAGAGGGGCTCATTCTCTGATGCTCTTGAACTCTCTCACGTTCACAGGCTTGAGGAAACAAGACAACCAGGGAAACACGATGATGAAAATGACAACAAATCTGAACTAAAATAGGGGGTGAATTAAATGTCCAATATCTTAAAAGACTACTAGAATCACAATCCAGACTCCATTCGAAGAGCTTGTTTTCCCTTTTCCTTGGAAAGGTGAAGGTGACCCGACCGCTTTGTTTCGGTTCCAAGGCAGACTCCCTTCT